ACAAACTCGATGAGGCTCTTCAATGGATGCTTCATCCAACTATGTAAGATATTGACTGACATGTTCTATTATACTTCTGCTATCTTGACTAGTGAAGTTAATAAATTCCGGGAGCCTGTAATTTGTAGGATGAGCGACCAAATCATACCACTCTGGATATGGATGTTTGTACAAAAAGGTCTGCCCCTTTGGTTTCAAACCGAACTAATTCTTCATCATCTTGATCACTCTGAGCAACAAATCATCAGCATTTGAATCTGGATTTCTTTGCAATTGCTGACCCATCTACGAATTAAAATTTTAGGTACCTTGATACCCCGGATTCGGAATCATATGAAGGGTATTGTAATCTGCTCCATAATGATATCCCTATGGAATCTCTATTTGTTGGGTCCTTTGCTGATTTACTGCTTGAAGTCTCTGGTTGTAAATGCTGGGATCTGTATCTCTATGAATCCTTTGAACTGATGGCGCTATTTTTTGAGCCGACGACGGTATTTGGCCTGATGTGCCAAAACTAACCATTTGATTCTGAACTTGCCCCGTCGGCTGTTGCACATACTGCACTAATGATCCAGGATTATTTTGTATTTGATTAGTAGTGATACCTTAAACTTGTTCAGATGAGCCCTGAACTGCCTGGACATCATCATTACCAGTTAGTGCTGCTTCTTGATGGCTAGTACTGGCTTGATTAGTCCCCTGAGTTGATGGATGTGCAATGTTGTAATAAGCCGGTCCAACCTGATCAATTAGACATCCATGAAACACCTCTTTCATAGTATTGTAGAATGTGTTCAAGAAAGCTGTATTATGGTTCAACATGGCATCATAAATAGATTTGTTTACAGCATCTATAAAGAAACGCCTATCATCAGCTTTGTCTGTATCTAACTGCCCATGCATCAAAACTCTTAGTAGTGGATATTTCTGAACAACTTTATTGCCGTGTGTCTTAGTGTAGGACAACAAACACTTGTTCTGAAATTTTTCTATGGCTTTACTGATGACATCTTTATCCTCATCAGGTAGGTCTTCATAAGGCACCATAAGGATGTCCTTGTTGTTGTGAGTTGCCATGATGATTGTGAGGGTCCCACCGGGCATGCCAGAACATGTGTCGGCGCAAAAACGTGTTGATACGCCTGACACATAGCAAGCCGGAAGGATCTGCTTGGAGTAAGCCCGGAGATCCACTTGTCTGACCAGCCGATCCTACGAATTTCTGAGGGCGTGCTAGTCAATTTGACCTACAATTGACAAGGAGAGAAAGTTTATCAGTAATTTAGGGTGGAACATGCCGGTTTTGCCCAGACAGTTCCAAGTGTGCCGCTTCGGGAGCAGCCAGACGGGAAAATCGACTAAAATAGTCGATACAAGAAGAAATCGGCTGTTAAGAACTGTAACGCTCACGGGTCATGTTTGATTTTATAGTAACGAATGCAGCGCACCCAGTTTTAATGATCTTCTCCCTTAAGCTATTAACATGTATGCGTCAAAGATACATCACTGGCTAAATTAGATTTTGATTAACACGTGGTGTAGAGCCAATGAATCCGGTGAAAAGGGATATGCCACGTAAACAATTGACTGTTTGATATAGACAGATCCACGAACCGTCTAGATCTAATCTATTACCATCAACAATGAGGTTCAACCGGATCGATGCAGTTATAATGATGGTGATAGTCTAGAACCAGAAAATCCATAGAACCGACCATACTTCAACAGATTTATGAAAGCGTGCCATATCTGTGAAAGCATAGACGAATTAGCTAAAATAGCTGATTCAGGTATAAAAGGGATTACATCATGTGAACAATCGACTATTTAATATGGACGGATCTATAAACTCATCAGATATAACCCGTCATCCTTAACAGTGGGGTTCAACCAGATCGATGGCAGTCATGATAAAGATAACAGATCAAATCTTTAAAATAAACAGATCTATTCACATTTAATAGAATCATGGAAACACACTATAAGCGTTAAAGTACAGGCGATCGGCTATTTAGCTGATGCAGGCATAGCAAATGGCCAAGGTCATGTCTGGTCGAAAGCAAATCTACTAGCTAGCATACTCTGATTTAAAGTGCTAACAGTGGGGATCGACCGGATCGTTACAGCCATAATAGCGAGCTATAGACCAGATTCAATTAGCTAGCAAACCTTCTCAAGATCAGACATGCTTTATCCGCGTACTATGAATGATCAAGACTGAAGTAGAATGGCCTATGAAACATAATCCATCGTTTAAAGTAAGAACCAATGCAATGTGACAAAATAAACGATGGACTAAAGGATGTGAGACCGATCTAGATCAATCTCGATCGGGCAGGTTGATATTACTGAAAATAATGACAATAAGAACATCAGCAAGATCGGTAACTTAATGAATCTACTTGAAGGATGGCACCCTTAGGTAGAGCCGACAACTTGACCTTAATCTAATTTGAGCAGTGGAGGTCGAATTTAACCGATACAGCCGTACTTGAACTAGATAAGGATCGATAACTAGCTTATACTAGAGCTCGCAAGAGGTCGACCGGACCGATGCAGCCTTACAAACAGAAGTATAAGCCATGACGGTACTTATAGACAAGCTGAAGGTCGACCGGATCGATGTAGCCCTGCTTGTTGAAGAACTCGCTGAGATCTATAGTATTCCTACTCCTAAGGGTTAGCGTGAAGCTATAAAAAGTAATTGGTATTGATTGATTGGGTGTCTCTTACAATAGCCGGGGTCCAATATTTATACCCGGTACTTAAACATGAATCCTACTGAAACACAACTTATTACAATATTTGAAATAAAAGAAAACATTCCTAATTTAAGATAACTTGGACTCCAATCCTTTTTCCTTTTGTAGAGTCCGACATTTTTCTCCCTGACGCCATCCGTACGTAGTCCGTCAATGTGCTCTACTGACGTCATCCATAAAATAGTCGATTCCAACACTGCATCAAAACTAGCTGATATCAATTCACATCTGATCGATTCCTTGATGATACAATCTTAGGAGCTTCGATTTCCCGCGTTCTTCTCTTCCCAAATTTTGGTGTAAACAAGTATGTTATTTTCTCCTGTGTGGTGTACTGCTCATAGTTGTCTTTATTTGTTTGCGTGTATGTTGGTATACTTGGTCGCAGTAGCCATCGCCGTGGCCTGCCACTCAGGTAGCGGCGGCCAGCCCCCAGGCGCTCAGACCCCAGCCACCCAGACGCGGCGGTGGTTTGCCCCCATGGCGTATTCGGTCTCGGTCGGATGCGAGAGAAAGAGAGGATAAAGAGTGGGAGGAAAAGAAGTTAGGGTTTGAGATCTATCTCATCAATTCGATCATGGATGAACGGTCAGGAAATCACGAGCCGAACCAGAAATCATGAGCCTAATAGGAAATCGTGGATCTCTTTTTCTTTTTATTTTTATTTTTCCTTTTTTCTTCTTGAAATTTTATGAACTTCTAAAATTTTGGAATAGTAAATGATTTTAAATAGAAAAGTCGTCAACAATAAATTTGTAGAGCCCACCAAGATCTACAATTTTGGTTTTGGTCCTTTCTCCATCCGACTTTGTTTCAATAATTCAAAATTTGAATTTCAAGATCTACAACTTTATTTTGGTCATTTCAAGATCTATAGAATTTTGGGACAGTAAATGATTTTAAATTAAAAAATTGTCAACAAGAAAGTTATAGAACAAATCAAGATCTACAATTTTTATTTTGGTCATTTCTTCATCTGACTTTGTTTGAACAATTTGAAATTTGAATTTCAAAATATAAGAACTTCAAACATAATTTTAGGACATTAAATGGTTTCAAATTAAAAAGTCATCGACAACAAAGTTGTAGAAACCCATCGAGATCTACAACTCTTGTATTGGTAATTTCTCCATTCGACAAAATGGTAGTATACATTATTCCCAATTGGGTAGATGTTTCATATTATTCTCATATAACTATGTGAGAGATGTATCAATTTGTGAACAATGTATACTGCCACCTTGTTAAAATCATTTGAATTTTTTATGTAATGATTATGTAATAAAAATATGTTACCATACAAAATTGTAGAACTTTCTGACAAAATTTAGAATTATTTCAATTATTTTATGTTAATTTAAGAATAGGGAATTATCCCTAGCAAACAAATGTTTTTCCCTAACAACTTTGGGATATGGGATAGAGTGAAATGTATGACTATAAATATGTTCTTTGTAAATTTTTTTGACTCCTCCTGGAGGTATGCACAGTTCAATTTGGAATTACTTTCGGTAAGCACGCAGAAATTCATTTAAATGATAGAAAATATCAAACGAGTTTTAAATTTTTTTGAAACTCCTACACATCAATATATACGTAGGTTATTGCTTGTTAAAAAAGTTTTAGAGTATAAAAGGCATTTTCCCTAAGGTAGCTTTACAATGATCATTCTACATTTGCTTGAGAAATAAAATGACCAACAAATAGCAATAAAAAAGCAGGAAGAACACAATGAATTGATAGAGCATGAGTTTAGAAACTTTTAGGAAAAAGTATTATCACATTTGAAGCTAATATGAGGGAGAAAGACTGTTACAAAATTTCACCACAGATTAAAACGAGAAAAAGTTTATTTGAAGCTAATATGTTCTTTATTTTCTAGTAAGTAAGCAATGAAAATAAGCAACCCATATTTCGTGGCGGTGCAAGTTGACTCTCATGAAAACTATCACCCTCATGAAAATAGATAATTTTATGGCGGTATAGTCATTTTCATGAGAGGATATTAAATACCCTCACGAAAATAGCTGATTTCATGGCGGTGTGTGGAGCACACTCATGAAAATATATTTTCGTGGCGGGATTTAAATTACCCTCATGAAAAAGATTAATTTCATGAGAGTGTGTTTTTAACTCTCATGAAAAACCATTCCTCTCATGAAATATTTAGTTTCTGGTAGTGATGGTTGGGCCTTGCATCTGAGGTTTAAACTTTTACGTGTCCTAGCTTTAGAGATGTGCACATCATCTGGTGATTATGAGTATGACAGGCGCAGGCTTGAGCATCTTGGAAATCTAGTTCATTTGAGGTACCTAGGGCTAGAAGGCATATTGGTCAAAGAGCTCCCGGAAGCCATAGGAGCACTAAAGCTTCTACAGACATTGGACATGAAAGGTGGAGGATATATTGTGGAAGTCACACTGCCATCGAGCATTAGCCTGCTAACGCGGTTGATCTGCCAACGGTGTGATGGTTGGACAAGGTTGCTGGATGGGTTCATCCTCCAGAAGTTGGCGTCACAGGAGGAGCTACAGAAAGATGTTCACATGCTATCTTTTGAGTTCAGGAGGCAATTTTTTAAGGAGCTGGGCAACCTGAGCCATCTTAGGGTGCTCCATGTGCTTGGTACTGGTCGGCTTAATGAGAGCAAGCAGGAAGAACTTTTGAAGTCACTAGGCAATCTGCAGCAGCTCCAGCATCTGGATCTGTATTCTCTTGCGATAATGGATGCACCTGCCTCAATGGAGTGGCTGTGCTTCCGGAACATCTCAGGCATTTGCGTATAGAAAGCATCTGGTTCACTCGTGTGCCATCATTCCTAAATCTCACGTTTCTCCCCAACCTTTCCTACTTGGAGTTGCATGTGGATCATATAGACGAGGCAGGTCTGAGTGTCTTGGGTAGGCTGCCATATCTCCGTTACTCCCTCCATCCCAAAATAATTGTCCCTATGTGATGCGTGCTTGTCAAACTTTCTCAACTTTAACTAGGTTTATAGTAAATATTACTAATATTTTTTTATCTCCAAATAAGTTTATTATGAATATATATCCAATGATTCATCTAATGATACTAATTATGCACCATAAATATTAATAATTTTTTATATATTAGGTCAAAGTTAAAAACGTTTGACTTCTCGGAAAGTGAGAATGACACTTATTTTGAGATGGATGGAGTACCTCTGTATGCTAGCGCCTAATTGGATGGCTTCTCATAAGCAGGCTACAGTAGTTAATATTGCTGCCCATGATGTCTTCTTCCACAAGTTGAGAAGCCTCCGATTGGGTGGTTGGATGGTCCAGTTGGCGACCAACGATGACTCAACTATTGCTTCGTTTAGCATCCGGAGGAAATGACAGGATGCTATGGTATTTGACTCCAAAACAAGGGATGGACACCCAGGGGGGCGCAGCAGAGTAGCACCGGCCCCTGTTGTGATGCCAGACCTCCACAAGCTTTGGTTCATTGTCCCAGTCAGGGCTTTTATATACAAGGATGGGTAGCCGTGACAATCTGGACTGTAAGGATGTTTTTCCTGAGGACGTGAACAAGGCAGAGGCTGAGCTCAGGCGCGTAGCAGTACTCCATCCCAATAGTTCCGCACTCAAATTCGACGTATTTAATGAAAATGATGAACATATGGTGGCATGGTAAGGTATGGCGAAAGCCAATAACATAGATAACAATGTATGGTTCAGAATAAAAGTAGTCTATACACATGTAAGTATATATTAGAACATATATAGTGTACCAAAAAAATGTGCAACTTCTCTACAACATGTACTCTTAATTTTGGCATTTGTCTTTATGACCATGAAGAGGTACGTATCAGCTGCCTAGCTTGTTTTAATAACCACATTCCATTCCCAATTCCACTAACACGTACTTCTCCATTACTATATTATTATTATAGTGATAATATGCAAAGATAAACAACGGCTATGGTACTCCGACTACCTTCTAGAAGGTAGGAAGACTTCAAAGAAATCATTGGCCTTAATTTTTAGAATTACTAGAACAATTAAATAAATTAAATAATAAGAGAAAAAGAAAAACAAATCCCTGAAATCTTGGCATATCCTAGGTTCCTTGTTTGGTCTGCGTGGGCGCGCTAGTGTACATATGATGTAATTAGCACTTTCCTAAGAAATATAGTTACGGTTAAATGTATACTTATTACTGTAGTCACGTACGGACTGTGCTTGAGTAATTTATAGTTTCATCATGCATTTATATTAGATCTATCTAATAAGAAGATGTTTTCTCTATTTATTCTCTATTTCTTCTATTACCTCCTATAAGAGGTAAGTACGTGATAGTTTACATCTAGATCAACGGTCCAGAGTCAGTTCGGAGTACCGTTGCAAAACCTACATAACATAGTAAATCTGTTGTTGATTGTTTTAGCGAGTTCCATCATTTCCATTGACCTTTATCTATCATCAATGCTAGACTAATGCTAATCAAAATTATTTTTCCTTGACTTTTGCTTCAGTCGTTGGAGATTCAGCTGCTTGGCTCTTGATCCTCGGTGGGAGGAGTTCGTCGCTCAAATTGGTTGATTTCAGGACGTTGGGAGCATTTTGGTTAGTCCTATCTGCTGTCCCATATATGTGCCGCATGCATGCAGCCAGTGTCAGTCTACTACACGGTCACCTTCTTCCAACATATCTCTGTGCTCATGTGAGACCTTTGCTGGCTTTAAACTTCTAATAATGTTGCTCGACGATCATGCCTGTTGCTTAGTATATTTCGATTGGCTCTAGCACTTATTGTTGGCGTACCTGCCAGTATGTTTGGAACATATATGTTATATGTCTGTTATGTTAGATGAGGCTTAAATTTTGTTTTCGTATCCCTCCGCATGCATGCATGCATGCCTGCCAATCTTCATTAGCTCCATCAGCTGTCCAGTTTGCTTTGCTGAATTTCTCCAACTGGTGAAGGTAGCTCCTTCATTCACTTCGTTGCTATGATCTTGGCTACCATATTTTACTGATTATTGTAAATTGCTGGATCTAGGATAAAATTTCATCTATGATTTATTTTTTATTATTAACTCGAGAGACAGAATAACTCACAAGTGATGTTCTTAATACACTAAAGATGATATTGTCATTCATAATTGATGATGCATATACGAGTAAAAGACAAAGTCAAATATTAGATCGATAATACTAGTGATTACGCTACTACAGTCCACATATTCGATTTTTGGGAGACTACTGCCTAGATTAAAAGAGGCGGACCCAAATGAGCGGCACATCTGATAATGGAGAGGTGCTCCTAGTGGATCGGCCCACGTCTGTTAATGCATTAATAAACTATTAGTGCTCGATTAACTGAGAAGGTCGGTTTAGGACGCCCACCTCTGTTAATGCATTAACAGAGGCAATCAACTCTAGTAATCGGGTTTTAACAGTGGATGCCATCTTAAGTCATCCGTTTCTATCGATGCACCAACAAAGGCAGGCTTCACAGTGCCCGTCTCTTTTAATTATTAATGGAGGCGGACACCTTGTAATCCTCACCTCTGTTCATGCTTTTGGTTCATCATAATGCCTTATAATGATTAACACAGGCACCTTATTGTGGGCTATAGAAAGCATCATACTGTGGATCTGATCGTGCGTTTGGTTCACCAAAGAAACTGAGGTTAAGATCACTAAGGCATGGCAGAGAGCCACTATTACAGAATTGTTCTTTTAGCAACATCGCTGTTGTAGGGCAGAGGTAGCTAAATCTACAACTGCCTCTATAAAGGCCTCCATCGGTCCCATCAACCCAACTGCCCCTAGAAATATATTTTCAGAGACATCTATAATTAGATCCGCCTCTAGTAATTTCTACAACATATATTACAGACCCCCCTTCTTACTCCACGAGAGCCCGAGGAAGAAAAGAGGAGTTTGGGCAACGTTCCAAAAAATACAAATCTAAGACCCCTACAGGAGTGATGACAGCAAGAACATTGTAGATGAGCCACTGTCGAACCCACCAAACACTAGGTTAGGAGTTTCGTGGGCCAGATCCAGTGGCGGCGAAGCTAGAGAACACGAGTTGGATGAGGAAACGAGTCGGCGGTGGCATGGCTGCCGCTTGCCGGCCTCACGACTCCTCACGCACACATCCTCCATGCGGAAGAATCCAAGACCTATGGCGAGGGGTTCAGACGGGTAGTGGCATGACCAGATGGGGAGCGGCTCCTATGTGCGGCCCTACTCGGTGACCTGTTCCAGCAAATCCGACTTGCTCTTCCCCTGCATGATTACTACAACTTTGATTTAGGTCATTTCTAGAGATGGCTCATTTACCTTAGATGACCCTCTAACGAAGCCTGCCTCTGGAAATTAATTTCTGAGGTGGGCTCATGGTTTGACTATCTCCTAAAATCATTTACAGAGGTGGTCAGGTAACATGACTGATTAAGCGGTGGTCTCACACACACGTAATGCGGTCACCACCTGCAAGCAGCACTCGAAGGTGCGCACACAGAACCAGCAACATGACTAGACACGTTCACAACCGGCCACCGCATTGCGCTCTGCGGTGATGTCTAGTTCACAGAACCAGACACCACAGCACTCCAAGATCGAGCTGCCTGCTTTTTCGCTTCTTCGGAGTAGCCACCGGCGGAGCACCGCACGACCGTCCGCACCTCCGCAAGGGAAGCACGGGACGGCAACACGGGGGCTATCACGATAGTGGATTTCTTCTGGGACGAAAAAGCAGGACGAACGCGCGACGAATCGCCAATCACCAGAGCTAGGTTTTCAGAGGTGGAAGAAGATGGGGATTTTCTTCTGCGTACCAGAATAAGGAGCTCCTGATCCGTTTTATCGGGGCAGGTCAGCTGAGGGAGAGGCGAGCGCCGCCACCCCTCCGCAGCTTCCGCACGCGCAGACTGCGCCACGCCCGGGAAGGGTGGAGTGGCAGGCGAGCGCCACCGCTCGTCCGAGCGAGCGAGCCCTCTGCTCCTTCCTCTATTCTCCCGATGGTACGATGCACTGGATAAGGTGCTTGCCGGCTGGGCTGCACAGGCCGTGGTCCAAGTTGTGGCCCGGCACGGTGAGCCCTTCTTCTTTTTTTTGTTTATTTCGAAATTACTTTTTATTTCAAATCTGAATACAAATTCAAATAAGAAATTAAGTGAGAAACCCCTCTAATTTCCAACACTTTTCTCATAGGAAGCAGTAACACCCAATCCAACAGTCTTTGAATGAGTGCCAAGTCAAATCAGTCTTTTCACTATGATTAGTAACTGTATTTCCATGATCATCAGTCAACCGTTTAATTAGATTGCGCCTATATATTTGATAGTTGCATGTGCATTAAAAAACTTGGTGCTAGAATCACCCAGAGTTACCCATTTTATTGTGCCCCTTTATTTCCTGTAAAGTTTTTATTGATGCAAGAGGGAAATAAGCTTGGATATACGGGCTATGAAATTCCATTCCATTAGGAACAAATCTCTGTATTCCTCTAGAAATTTCAGAAAAGAAAGAACAAGCTTGACATTATTAATGTTATCTTTGAGGTTGTATAAAGATCTCTTCCAATCATTTAGCAATTGTAACACCCTAAAATTTGCTCCTTTGAAAATAGAGTTAAAATGATTTTATTTATGAATTTTTGTGCTCAAGAAATATAGGGAAAATAATATTTTCCATTAAATTAAAAATCCATCATATGGTTTAGAAACATTGTTGGTGCATTCATGCCTCTGCATTGGATTTATTGTATTGTGTGGTTTTGACAAAAAATTAAAAATGAATTCAAATGC